TCGGCATTATCGAATAAGTGCATAATTTTATAAAACGTAGGTCACTGGTGGATCTGTAAAATTGCACATTAGATCAGGTAATGACGTTCGGAAGAACAGTGAAGGCACAATAAATGGTTGACTGAATCGAAATGATGTTGCATAACTACGCGTTCCCTCACACATAAAACAGCCAAATCACAGAAGAGAGTCTTCTGGTGAAACATGTACTAAGTCATAAGAAACCTGGATCCTGCTCGTATGCTTGGCTTGTCATACAACAATCAAACAGTTTGATCGCGTTATGTACAGACAAGAACTTGTGGATGCGTTTGCGAAATGCCAGTTCAAGAGTGCAAGCATGAATCCCGGTGTTAGCTTGTTCCAGACTCCGGCGTGTCTGTTGAGGAAAAAGTTGACAGACCTGCCGGTTCAGGACTTGCATTCCCTACTAAAATATGTTTGTTTCGTGTGTTGTAGACTGTTGGTTGTGTTGATGCCACCTTGATGATGGGAACATACTTCATGTGCCGTAGCTAGAGCGGATCAAGCTTGAGTTTACCAGCTCGTTCAGAATATTCCAGTTTTGCAAAAGCACCTAGGAGGCACTTTGTGAATGCTCTCTGTACTCGATCCAGTGTAATGCAGTCGCACATTTTCCAGCAGCTATGCACCATTGAACAATATTTCAACGTTGGTCGAACAACTGAAATGTAAGAATGAAATAAATAAATACAAAATAAATGTTTTATTCCCGACAGGTCGGGACACGCCTAAAAAAGCATGACCACAGTAATACTGAGTGTATAATCAGTAGTTGGCACAAGTGTTACTATGTAACCAGTACATACTAGGGTTATGTTTATGTATGTGTGTAATTGCATATGTTAGTAATGATGCTGGGTGAATATGTTACTGTTTTGCTGAATTTGTGGTTGTGTTCGGTAAACACGCCAACATAGGAAAGGATCAACTCATATCTTCGAATTGGCTGTGTGCGTGGGGTAAGATCCTCCAGAAAGGCAGAAATCGGTGTTCTCAAACAGACATTCGCTTGCCAGGCGAAAATCCATCACTTCCTGAAACACTGCCACCGAACCATTCGCTGGAACAAGGTTAACCCGGTCCATCTAGCTGGCACCACGTGGAGGTTCTTCGGCTAGCCAGTCTGATTATGTAAGGAGGAAGTCCTGAACACCAATCTAAAACGGGGTTCAGACCGGCGGATAACCCTGCATAAATCTGGATTATCTCATTCGGCTTTTTGACCACCATGATAGGGGTAGCCCATGATGAGTTCCTCACACCTTAAAGGATTCCAGTTGATTGCAGGCTCTCCAATTTCCTGTCAACACTCGATAAAGCCGCGTAAAGTGCTAGGTGTTGTGTCGGAAAGTAGACTTTGTGTATGGGCGGAAGGACGACACTTCCTTGATTTTCGCGTAACATCCAATTCCATGCTGGAATACGTGGGCGTATTTTTAGCACATATGCTCCGGTGGCCTATAACGGATTAGATTTATCATCGCTTGAATGCACAATCGACTACACACATGGAATTAAGCGGAAGGTCCAAAAGTGTAAGTTTTTGTATCCACTCAGGGCTCAGAAGAGATTTCACTGATTTGAAAAGTAGCACATAACACATTTACTTGCACATTATTGTAACACAGAACATATGAGCTCACCTGTGCATTTCAACAGTGCACCGGAAGCATTCAGCACCGTACTATTGGCCGTATGTGCACCATGTGCTTTGTAACAATAAAATCATATCAAATGCTGCATCTAGCCGAAGACCCATACGAGTGTTGTTGCCATGCCCAGTCTCACTTATCCACTGGTGTTTTGCGTCCGTGTCGAAAGTAGCCGTCACACGATCTGTCATCTACATAGACTTTTGTCCGGTTTTTTTGAAATGCCCCCATCGAAAATTCGGAATTGTTCCATCGATTGAGGTACAGTGACTCTGTGTCTCCTCTCTTGTGATCACTCTCGTAGCGGACATGATGCCAATCACCGTACCGCCAGCAGGCTGTTAAGTGTATGTTGTAGGTGCCGGTTTTCGGAGGACTTGTGGGCTTGGTTACGGCCCTGTTTGTCACAGCGTTCACATTACTCGGGCCAGGAACTACTACTTGTTCGATTGTGGCAGTATCGTGCTTTAGCTTTGTCTAGTTGCCCGCCGGGTATCAATGAGAATGTCGGGGCGGCGGTCAAAAATCATCACTCAGAAGTCTCGCGGTTTTTATACATGGATTATATACAGTATTCCGCTGTCATCCGTTCATTGACTGGCCGCTGTTAACTAACGAGTGACGTTAGCTCCATCCTATTGGTTCGTGCTCGTTCTCAAGACGGGCCTATCCACGCTTACCAAGTCTAGGGTTACGTTTATCCTTGTTGCTGCCATCCCAGGTGTGTTGCAGTGTTATATATATATATATATATATATATATATATATATATATATATATATATATACATATATATATATATCAATTACAGTACAGTTGGCTGTCACAACACATAAGAGGGGGTCTGATTGGCCGCTCGTCCATTTGGTCGATGGTCTCACAATTTGTTGTCTGTCACAGCTGAGTGTGTTGCTAACATGGACACAGGTGTAAACCGTCTACTCGTTGTACGGCCGACCAATTTGCTTTTCCGCTGTCTGAAGGTGTGTTGCCTAGCCACTCCGCTAGGCCGGATGCGCTATGCATCTTCGGTTCTCCTGACTAGCATCTGATTCACCATTCGTCTAATAAGTTGGCGGTACCTCGGTTGGCTAGCTGACACAGCGGTATGTCTTGTTTGACTGTACCCAGGTCTAAACTATCCGCTTTCCATGAGACCGACCAATCCGCTCCTCAGATCTCAAAAAGCACATTGTTTCTTTTATGCGCTGGGCCGGACCAGTCGTGTGTGCTCCAGCCTTCGTCTGATTGGTCACCGGTCCATCGGTACCGCGACGATTCCCTTCACTCAAGGTTCCAACCATCGTCACAAAGTTCACCAAACGCTGGCATTCAGAAACGGCTGTTCTCAGATACATTGTGAGGTTCGCCCTCCTTACTCAGTAATCGGGTACGGACATTTGAGTCTCGAGGCGACTAAAAGCCACGAATAGCTAGCAGTCAATTGAAATGGTATTTCTTCATTTCTCGAAACGTTGAGCACCCACACTGATGGTTAACCATGCTCACCTAACGCAACATTTGTCACAATCTCTTTTGACAATTTTCAAACGCGAGTACCTATTGTTAAGAATAGAAGACGCTTGCCCAGTCATTTCAATAAGTGGATAATTTCGTCAAATTCAGTCTTTTTGGCTCTTAGAAAGAATAAACTGTCACCATCTTTCCACGCTCCTTGGTCTCAAGTTTGTGCAGAAGTAATCTTCTTTTTCATCCCCATCTGCTCGGTATGTGTTTGCGTGCCTTATCAAACAGGGTTCGATATTATATCCGATCTCAAGATCATGGCTGAATTCTGTGGTATTTATTGAAGTTTTATCCACAAATGACTGTCGTTTCAATGGGTCGCTTTTGCGATTCCTCAAACAACTATTGTTGCTTCAGCGTTAAATTCCACTCCTCTACTGATAGTGGCATTCTTGGGGATATCGGCAATCGTTTCCTTCCGTCGTCAGAAACATGTTGTAACCCATTATCAATCGCTGAAGCATGCAACAACCGTCAACTCAGCTGCCCAAGCATACAGAATGTGCCCGCCTCCAAGCCCAAATTACTCGAAAATAGAAATCGAATGACCTTGAGCAGGCACGCTATCTTCATACGAGGAAGGGGTGTCCAGGGTTCAAATTTTCACTGCTTAATGCACTTTCTTCACGAATGACCTAGAAACTGTCGACCTGGCGAAATGGTATTGGCCAGGCCGCGACGCTCAATATAATTTTAGCCAATCGGATTCCTAGGTGGAATTCGGGTCTTTTCCTTCTAAGTAGGTCGCTGAAATTTATCTCAATCACTTCGATAGGATCTGTTTACCTTAACAAATACGTAGAACCAGGTGTCTAAATGAATGGAACCTGTATCAGCGGAGTCCTCCGTTTGCCACTTGGTTACGCCGTTGCCATATGTAGTTATACACCATTATCCGCACGATTGCATTCTCACACAGTTCGCATTCATTGTTATCACAGGACAAATAGGACTGGATAGGCTGCAATTCCGATGCCTTTCTATCGTAAACTACTGAGAGAGCCTTGCATTGATTGCCGGGTGCGTACGATCTCCTAACAGGAAAAGGAAAAGTTAGCTTTAAAGTTTTAAAGCACTAATCGGTTTTGTATAGGCTTTTATTCTGGCTGTGTTTCACTCTTGACGCGAAATCATTTTCAATCCCGGTGGACTTTGAACAAGAGGAAGATGACCATTAGGCTAACTACTGTCTTTAGACCTGGTCACCCAGACTTGGGTTTACTCTGCCTCTACTCTACTCATGGACTCACAGCATATCCTTTGCAACCGCCTTTAACGACTCGTTTGCCCTCGTCTCGTAGCCAGCTGACCGGTTTTAGGTGTGAATGATTCCGAGTTATGTGTAAGGTATGACTGATTGCCATGCTTGGAGACTGTCTTGTCGGCACTGCCTCTTCTTCACACGTTCTCCATCTGCTTGTCTCTGCACATTGTTGGCGATGTGTAGGCCACCTCGGATCCAGCTTACCTCCTTCCTTTCCCTCATACGCTCGTTCCCCATGAATAATGTCATTCTGGCTACACGACATCATACTACCACTACCTATAACTGTTTAGATGGTGATGATGAGGATGAGAAGCAAGAGGATGCTTTTCGCCTCGGTGATATAAGCTCCCGTCCATCCCTGAACTCTACTTAAGTCTCTTTCCCTATGCTTGTTTCCGCCTTGATTCGATCGCTTGATAGAAGTGTTCACTTAACCACCGACTCCTTTCCCGCATTGTTTTGCCTTTGAATACTCACTCACCTCTTTGAAAACGAGTCACTGTATCATTATCTACGCTTTTTCCTTACAGGCGGCTAACAAGACGCAAAAATATGAACGAATTTACGAGAAGAAAAGCAGCACTGCCGTGGATGTTTTGTGTCGTGGCTACCCCGCAGAATTTTCCATCTACTTTGATCACTGTCGCAGTTTGCGTTTTGACGAGACGCCCAATTACGGATTCCTCCGCAGCAATTTTCGTAATCTGTTCCGTACACTCTCCTTCGTGTGGGATTATGTCTTTGACTGGACCCTGCTACGGCAGAAAGCTTCCGCGGTACAACAACAGTGTCACGGCGCAGGCGTGCTCAATCGCGACCAGGTGCCGGGCACTAGCGCTCCCCTCGTGTCTCCGGGTGCAACTGCCGGAGCGACTGCGATTTGTACAGGCGCTGCCATTCCTATCGGAGATAATCCAAAAGACGGCCGAGATGCACCCCACCGATTAGCAACAGATATGATCCAGTCCTCCGCAAAATAGTCTTTCTCCAGTTTCCAAAACGTCGTTACGTGATTGATGCAGGGTTTTACCTCAGCATACATTGTCTTTCCACCCGATTACTTGCCTCTCGTGTGGCCGATTTCCCCATCAAAACAAATAACGCAAATATTGTGGTCGTCAATTTTGACCGTTTGTTTTTAACCTCATTTTGTCTCCAAACAATGGCGTGTTTAACAATGCTACCACCAAAGCAACCCAGGACGTGAGCCGCTTAGTTTCCTCGATTTGTGCCCTCTGTCACATCCACCAAGTACCATCTCAGTTTGAAGTCACTTTGCATCGGAGGGTTTTTGCCTAGGAAAAGGTCCCACTGCACTTCCTTGCCAACCAGGTAAAGCTTGTCAAAAGCGCCCAACGTGACTTTGTTCTTATTTTCTTCATCTTCATTGGTTTCCCATGCTTGGCCTCGCGCTTCAATCCTCTTCTCGCCCACCGTGATCACGCCGGGCATCTTTTATTCCCGGACTTGTTGCCTTCTTTTCGCGTTTATTTTTTCCAGTTCACACCTCCCATCTGAGACACGCTGACCGCTATTTCATCGGTGAAATTCCGGCTCAGTGCGTTGGCACATCTGCTTCCTCTCTTGCTTCGTCGGGTATCAATCAGGTATCCGTGATGTACAGCCCATCTTGAAAGCATCTTCTCTCTCCAATGCATGTGTATGTGCAAAATGTGCTACATTTAATCATCTCGTGTCCCCTCCCACATTGGATGAAACCAGCACTTCGACTTAACCGCGCCTCCACCGCCTTTTCCGATCAAACTTTTGTGTTGTGTGTGCGTGTGCGCGCATGTAGATTGATGGTGTTATGAGTTCCACACCCAGCGCTGTAGTTACTTATTCCATATGACTCACCAGATTCTGTGAATGCGAATAATTCCACCAAGTGAGCTACTCCAGTCAACGTATACACTCTTGTACTGCACACACACATCCCTTTTGATTTCGATTCCAGTGCAGTAGGGTGGCCTGTCCACTGTGTCATGCCTTGGGTTATGATGCCATTCGATAGGAGTTGCGTTGACGCTGTGGAAAATGAGCCGCGCTATATCATTGTCAACTGTCAGTCATGCAGGTCCGCCGCCGTCACCCATGGCTTAGTGGTACAAGGTGCTGGCATCCGAAAATCATTGGGTCGGAACCCGGCAGGGCACCGAAGAACGCGCGCCACTGACGAGCCCCAGAAGGTTGAAACAGCTGTCTGGTGCCTTCCCAGACATGCGGGAGCGTGCGTGACTGAGGGGACTACGACAAACCACATCTGAAATTACACCAAGATCCCACTACTCATTAGTAATCAACATTCCGTCCGCCTAGTTTGATTGCTGTGTCTCATACAGTCATTGTACGACAAGTTTTAGATCTGGGGCCATACACTACCCTCTGCACTGTTCGTAACTAACATGGCAGTTTAAGATGAGCCGTGTTGTATCGTAGTCAACTGTCAGTCATCCAGATCCGAAGGTCAAAACAGCTTTCTGCTGCTTTTCTAGGCGTGCGAGAACCTGTGTGATTGAGAGGGGACTGCGACGAACTACATCTAAAATTACACCAAAATCCCCACTGCTCCTCTGTGACAGTATATGTTTGTTGGACTTGATTAATGAATTTCGTAAGCCGATGGTTTTACCTTCATATATCTTGAGATCATTTGTCTAGGTCTAGCTGGGGGGCAGTTTCTCTCCACTGTGGGGATGGTCCCGCTCGCCTTAACATTTAGATACCATCACAAAGATCCAATTTGATAAGCATTAGGTGCTGGAGAAAGATGTCTGGTTATCTCTGTGCGGTTGCGTGTGCCGCAGTTGGCAACTCACATAGGGTAGTAGATTTAGAAAGCATAACTGGGCGCATCGCATCAGTCCTTAAACCGATTGTTATGAACGTCGGGCCAAGCAAAATGATACAAACCTTAACGTCAACGCATAGAAGGAATGGTTCCCAATACGGAGTGGTCAATGTTCTGCAACGAATGAGTAGCAGTAGGGTTAGAACTGAAGGTACTCATTGGTGGTCGCCACCATAGGCATACGTATCGTACAGTTCCTCTTTCGTATGCCACAGTGAAAAATGACAACTGCTCTGTTGGATGTAGAGTCTCCTCGTGTCGTAGATATCTGTAAGATGCCAATTCCGTATTCACCTGTGTGATTGATAACGATTCCTACTGTGTAGTGTTGTGGACAGTTAGGTAACTTGCAAGCTACATCGTAAAAATTCCTAAATCGAGCTGAATTTCGGCTAATTTGTGGCTTTGCTTAGTTCTGAAGTGCACGCCCAGTTGCATCAGTGGGTACCGCTCAATCTTACTGGCTAACATCTATATTTCCCTCACTTGTCTGAAGCGAAGGCATTTACGATGATTTTACTGCGAGTGTAATTGAACACCTCGATTGTTCGCTATGTGTTTTGCTGGTGATTTTAACCGATTCGACACCGCTTTTCTCGCAAGTCTTGGACTACAATGCATGGTAAATTGCCTCACTGGATCCGATGCTACTCTTGGTCTAGCATATTTTAACCTGAAGCTGTTCTGCATGTGTAATAGGGCGCCTTTAGGTAGCTCTGATCACTCAACAATTTAACTGTCCTGTGCTCTACTCTAAGACAAACCATAAGGTGGTTACTCGTTGCAATGACCGCACGTTCAGGTGGAAGCAGTGTTCCGGACAGAATATTGACCGACTGCGGGTAATGGTATCATTCACCGACTTCCGTCTGCTTTTGACACTGATGTGTCCACGTATTGCTGCCAGTTGACGATTTAATTAAACTTTTGTTTTTGAACATTTGCTGTCCATGCGAATCTCTGTTCCTCCGTGCGGACAGGTTCTCTTCCCCCTCCCCCCACCTAAAGCGGCTACGTAGACAAAAGGAGAAAGCTTTCAAATGAAAAGACAACATTTTAGTGAAGTAACTATCTGTTCTTAAAAAGCAGAAGTTGTATCGTCTCAGCAAGGTGTACGTTCAGGCTATACTTGAGAATAGTAGCTTTCGTGAACTCTGGAGTATTTTAAAACGACTAAGCTGGTCTAATCGATGTACATCAACCTCCGACGTGGATGTGGAGAAAGTGAACCATGATTTCTGCAAGTGCTATAACAATCCGATCTCCGAATAATCCTTTGATCAACCTAAATTTTTGCATACTTACTACCCCAGGTCGACAGCGGCACTGCACACAAGTTACCGCAACAGCTTCTCTCAGGGAATGCAACTGGTCCAGATAGTCTGTCACCCTTTATCCTCTAGAAGTGTGCTGACTTCCTGGTCAAAATCTGATACATTATGCTGAGCAGACGTCATTATCACACCAGTACAAATATCGACCAATCGCTGATAATTCGGTAGATTTGAAGATGTTCGCAAAACTCATTCTTATGGGGCTGCTAACACAACAGCTGTCAAATGATTCTCCTCAATTTGTCTACCGTGGTTTTTGGTCAGCCCGAGACACAATAGCCTGTCTTGTGCTCTCACCCCCGTCGTCACTGGACAATTGAATTAACTTCATCCGAGTCTGTTTTCTGGTCTACAGCGAATAGCGCCGCCCTGTCCTGCTTCCACTGCTCTATTCACGATTCTTTTTCTGATATCTTGATGCATTGGATTTATAGCGGATTTTCTAAACGGTTGATTTCTATCTTTTAACTGCTTTTTGAACAATTTTACAAGTCTGTAGGCATATGCTTAGTATATTCATACCGCACTTCAACTCTGGTACTCCACTTTCCTTTTCTCCCTCATTCCGCCTCACTTATTCCTTCCCAGTTGGTCAACTCATTAAGGCCTTACCCATTTCCATCTTGCTTATGTTTGCTGTATGGACTCCATTTATCTCCCACTATATCAACGACTTCTAAAACACTAGCCGCAAAGAACAACTCAGCCACCAACTCACCAATACCAAACCGGCGAACTTTAAGTGGCTCTAGTACAGTTTTGGAGGTAGATCAACTTGCTTCCTCTTCCCTGGTATCGAAAACCTCCGAGGTGAACAACTTGACCACAAATGCGCTGCTACCAAATAACGAAGTTTTAAAGGTTTCTTAAAAAACTGTAAAGGTATGTAAACATAAGGAAACTCGTAAAAATCACAAAGATTGTTTAGATTCTACTACCAACGGTCCTACAGAAGTATACAACAGAGTAGATCAGATTGAAAAGGATGTCCAATCCATCAATGGAAAGCTCCCAGCAACGGTCGACTTCTGAGACCTTCTGCTTCCGTTCTCCTACGTGTGTAGTATGCCTGATAAACCTAAACTAGGCTACTTGCATAAGGCTTCATACTTCATCTCTGCAGTTAGGTTGAGATGATAGATGCAGATGTGAAGTGCTCTTTAGAGCCACTGGCGTCGGAGGTAGATGTTTCCTCCATCATAGGCTGCGTCGATTCATCAGAAGATGAATGACAGGGATCTTCGCCGGTCTCCGGTTACACATGGGCAACCTTAAGACGGACAATCGTAACAGTTTCTCCTTTACCATGACGGTCAATAATAAATACACGGTCTTTTAGCTACAAAACTTTGAAAGGACCTTCGTAAAGTCTCTCAAGTGGTCTGCTTAGACCATCAACACGGAGGAAAACAAACGGACGATGTCGTACGTCTGTAGGAACGTAGGACTTTCGTCGTTGTTATCTCGCTACGGTAAGCCTGATATGACGTATGCTCGTAGCTAGTTGCCGAGTGTAATTGGCATCGTAACGGGTAATTTTGGGACTCACGGAAAAGAAGTCACCAGGTAGGCGTAAAGGTTGTCCATATACTACTTCGGCGCTAGACCTACGTAGATCAGCCTTTAGGGCTGAACGGATGCCAAGGAAGACTATAGGCAGGACGTGGGTCCAACTCAGCGCATTAGCGACTCTCAACTGTCGGGAATGAGGACGGCTTCGGGCCAACGGGTGCAACGGTCGATCATGGTCAAAATGTGGACCATTCCTTTGGGCGATGTGAAGGATCCAACTATATCAAGATAGGCATGGACAAAACGTTTTGAGAGTGGCGGAAAATGACCAAGCGCGGCGGACACGTGCCACTGTATCTTGGTTTGCTGGCATGTGAGACAGCTGCGTGCCCAGCATTTAAGATCGCGTTGCATTCCTGGCCAAACGTATCTATCGGAGATGAGTTTAACGGTGGCCCTAATGGCTGGGTGGGCAATGTTATGAAGCGTGTCAAAAACAAAGCATCGCAAACTTTCTGGAACGACAAGTCGAGGTTGTTCGGTCAAATTGTCGCATAAAATCATGCTATCAGATGACGGAAGTGATCTGGAGATATCTGCAGTGAAGAATCACAGAGTTCCGACAAACTCTAACCGCTTGATTGTGCAGCGACCATGGCAGACAGATCGATTGCCGTCCAGCAGGACTGCATGTAGATTTTCTAGGCAGAGCGTCAGCGACGACATTCTCTTGGCCAGCGATGTGTCGAATATCTGGAAAATTGGGCAACGAAATCCACCTGATGAACCTCACGCGGTGAGTGTTGAGCTGACTGATTTCGAAAAGCAAAAGTTAATGGATTATGGTCTGTAAATATGATGAAGTGATTGCCCTCGAGGACATGTTGGATATGCCGGATGGTCGAGTAAACAGCTAACAATCCTCGGCTGAAGGTACTGTACTTGAGTTCCGCCGGTTGTAGGCATCTCGAATAAAAAGCAAGTGGTTTTAAACATCCTTCAGGGTATTGTTGCAGGATGGCATCGATGGCGGAGTTCGATGTGTCGACGGCTATGCCAGCCGGTACTTTAGCGTCAAAATGATGGATCATAACTGAGGAAGCTGGGGCTTCTGTACTAGCGTTTAAAACTTGGATCGCAGCTGAGGTGACTTACACATTTCCGTTTTTGCGACCACGTAGTAAATCGGTCAGTGGGCTAATTAAATCTGCACAATGAGGTAAGAATCGCCGGTACTAATTGATCATGCCACTGAAACGGCGAATAGCAGATAGCTTGAACCTTCTTGTCGTCTAAGAGCCGT